GTGTAATAACTTGTTGTTTTAAATTTAAAACAGCACAACTCTAGATTTTTATTTGTTAGTTGACTTTTAACTTTACTTTTTATTATATTCATGCAACAGAACGCTTGCTCACACAAATAGGTCGACCCAAAAATCATCAGCACTCTGCAACTTCTTCACCTCACTGTAGTATTTTGGAACACTATTCTGCCGAATATTACCTTATACGAGGGTTGCTATTTACATTTCTGGCCTAATAATGAAAAAACAAATATGTAGGATCGAAATTGGTTTTATTGTTTTTCAAAATATTCTCCATGATGATCAATACACTTTTGCATGCGTTTGAACCAATTTTCAAAGCACTTTTTCCAGTCCGATTGAGGTAACTCCAAAACATGCGTTTTGAATGCATCAACCGCTTCTTCGGGGGTCGAAAATCGTTGTCCACGTAATTTATTTTTGATGTGTGGGAATAAGAAGAAGTCATTGGGTGCCAAATCAGGGCTGTACGGCGGATGACCCATCAGTTCGATCTTTCGCTCCGTCAGAAATGCCTTTGTTTGAGTCGATGTGTGAGAGCTCGCATTGTCATGATGAAGAATGATTCGCCTGTTCTTCTGCTTTTTTCGAATTTCTCCGATGACTTCTGGCAAACAAATGGTCGTGTACCATTCAGAATTGACCGTCCTGCGTTGCTCTAACGCCACTGTTGCCACATGACCGTTAATGCCGAAGAAACAGGCAATCATTTGTTTCGATGTGCTTCTTCCTCGAACAACTTTTGTTGGTTTTGCCTCGTCTTGGAAGACCCATACAGTTGATTGCTGTTTTGTTTCCGGCTCATATGCATAGATCCATGATTCGTCACCTGTGTAGATGTTATACACAGCCTTTGATGTACCTTGAACGTATTTTTCCAACATTTCCTTGCACCAATCGACACGAGCCTTTTTTTGAGCGTTTGTCAGATTATGCGGGATCCAACGCGAACAAATTTTTTTTACGCTCAAATGTTCATGCAATATTTTATTGATGCTAGTCATACTAATGTCCAAAGACGCCTCTATCTCACGGTATGTCACATGACGATCTTGCTTTATCAGTTCACGCACAGCATCGATCTTTTCTGGCACAACAACGGATTTTGGACGACCTGCACGGGATTCGTCCTGGATCGAACATCGACCACGATTAAATTCGTTATACCAATTTTTTACAGTGCTGTAGGATGGCGCTTTATCGCTGAATAAAGAATTAAGTTCATCGAAGCACTCTTGTCTTGACAATCCACGTCGAAAGTTATGAAAAATAATGGCACGAAAATGTTCACGATTCAATTCCATTTTTTGAAAGAGAAGAACTTTTCAATTTACTGTCAACAACACAAATGAAGCTATAATGGTAAATTGTCTGTTGAATTTATGTTTAAAAATATCAAACTTTCGATTAAAATCGTCTGCGGTCGCCTAGCAACACTTACTGTTGCCAAGGCCAGAAATATAAATAGCAACCCTCGTATATGCCGAATATGAGGGCATCAACTTGCAGAATTTCTTTTAGAGCTGTCCAGTTACGTTGCGCGATGTGCATACATTTTTGGACCTCCAACTTGCTCTTGAGTTCTGTGAACTTTCCACCCCACAAATCTTTGGTTTTCATATTCAGCAATTGCATTTGAAGTGATTCAGCTTCAGCATAGCTTTAATTTCCAAACGTCTCAATGTTAATCTCCTCTGTATTTGTGTTGAGAGGATTTACTATGAAAGCGAGAATACTTTTGTTTGTTTTGAATTCCTTAAATCTCTCGGAGAATACATTCTTCATATTTTTTCAAGCTATGCTGAAGTAATTCATGTCAATAGTTGCATTCGTCTCATCACGATATTGCTTCAGATTTTTAAACTGAAGTAATTTACCGCTCTCCATACTTTCAACAAAAATATGTAATTTGTTTACGAAATAAACTACTTCTTCAAGCAAGGCGTAGACTGGGTTGTCCTTTGCTTGCAGTTTCAGGTTTAGTTTATTTAGTTTCATTGTTGTATTTACCATGAAGTTGAATTATTGCAGCAATTTGTCTTCCTCTAATTCGGATGATCAATGCTTTTTTTTATTGAGGAATGTTTTATTTCACTCAAGCACATAGCAAAACATTGCAATAAGTTACCTCTGAAAAGCCATCGCACTTTATTGTGAAGAAGTAGTTCAGAAAACAAGCTATCTTTAAATTGGTGATGGTAGAGTGGTTTTGCCATTATTATATGTTATCTATTTTGTATGATATGTAATGTTTTTTGAAATAGCAAGTTTTAGACATACTGATATTAATTAATTGAAATAAATGATGCCTTTTTTATTAGTTATATAATTATTACAGACAACAATGGATTTTCTTATTCATTAATTTGTCTTAAAACATGAAATAAACGTATTCTTAATTAGTAGTGAAAAATGGAGAAAAACTAATTTTTGCTTTAAATAAGGAAAAAAAGAAGGAAAAAATAACGGAGAAAAGTGCCTTTTATTCGGTATCAAATTATTAGAATGAAGCTTTTCAAACAAGCTGCGTAAAAAAATATCATTAAAAATAAAAACATCAATAATTGAAATTTTAATAGCTATTGTCAATTATTTCTTAATCTTTAAAAAAATTATGGTTAAAAGAGTATTTTTTTCCCTTCATCAAAGAAATTAGATAAAATGAATCACATCACATTATTTATCATTACTAATTTCAAATAATTAAAAATATACTATAAAAGCATTATATTTGCTTAAAATATATTAATTTCTATCTAAAACATGTAGCACGTGAGAATTCTTGGAATGTGTGAATAAATTTGCACCTGCATTCATTTGAAATGGAGATCTTTGCCCCATTTTCAGCATAACGAACCTTAGAATGGTCACTGGTATTAGTAACACAAAATTTTGCTTCTAAACAAAATTTAACAGCTGTTCATCTGATAAATATTTGTTTCTAAGAAGTATTTTTATATTTTTTTAAAATTCATTTTAAATTCCAAATTTGATTTAGTTTTTGCAAATATATAAGCAAATAATTTGGTGTAGAAAATATTTATTTGAATTTCGACTGAGATCTTTTTCAATTCCAATGTATTCTAATATTTCTAATCTTCATTTTAATGAGTAAATTTAAATTGTGATATGAATTGATTAGTTCTGATTAAAATTAAATTCGTAGAATTATTTTGAAATTGGTTTGAATCAATGATTCAGTTATCCATCATAAAAGAACCAGGATGCCTGTTAAACTGCTTTCATAAAGAGGCAATTTAGTTTTTGGAAATATATAAGTAAATTATTTGGGTTTGAAAATGATTATTTGAATTTCGACGAAGATCTTTTGCAAATCACTGCTGTATTTTAATAATTATAATGTTTCGACCAGCGAATTGAAATTGTGATTTGAATTAATAAGTTCTGTATAAAAATAAAATTCGTAGATTTATTTTAAAATTGATTTGAATCAGTGATTTAGCTATCCAACATAAAGGATACCAGGACTGTTTTCAACTGCTTTTACTAGAGAAGCAAAACTGTTATTTTATGCGAGCTCGTCTATAAAGTTATTGAGACAATAAAGTAGGAAACATGTTCCTATTAGTCTACATATATTAGTCTATCGTTATCATCACTCATGGTAAGCTGTCTATCTGTATTATTAGTCTATCTATATTATTGGTCAATCAATATTATCACTCATGGTGAACTAACTATCAATAAAATTTTAGTTTATCAGTATTATCATTCACGGTGAGCTGTCTATGTATATTATTAGTCTATGAATAACATTAGTCTATGAATAATATTAGTCTGAATATTATTAGTCTATGAATATTACTAAGTAATGAGTAATATAGATTAGTATATAGTAATATAGATTAGTAGTCTATCTATATTACTTATCTATCTATATTATCACTCATGGTGAGCTTTTGTTTGTCTATATTATTAGTCTATAAATATTACTAGTCTATGAATATTAGCAGTCTATTTATATTATTTATCGATCTATATTATTACTCATGGTGAGCTTTTGCTTGTCTATATATATTTTTTATTTTCATTATAAGATAATACATTACAAGATAATACATTATAAGATAATCCATTATAAAATAAGCTATTCAAAGATAATCCTACACTTTCCAAGATATGTTCAAAATACATTAAGTAAATAGGGGTCAATAGGAGCAAAAATCGCTACAATATTTACTCGATACATATTTACATAATACAAAATATATATTTACACTGTATGTTATACATTACAAAAAGTAATATCATAGTTGGAACTATCAAAGAAAACGATCGTTAAAAGCAGTTATTATAGCTATCGACATAATCGTTTCATAAAAGTTACGAATATGTTAGTTTGAATCAGTGATACAATTTATTACAGTCTTTGAACAGATTCACATTTCTGAGATTTGTCAGAATTCAGATTTATTCAAATTAATAAATTTACACGACTACAGCTGTAAATCTGTTAACTTTAATAAATAAATTCTATTCAATGGATTCTTATGAGTTGATTTAAATCTGTTAATTCGAATATTTGAATAGAATTGATTAGTTTATTTTGAATTTTATTTGAATTAGTGTCTTCATTTCTTTATTCTAATAAACTAAGTGAGCTGATTCGTTTTATTCGTATGATAAAGATAATTTTGATTTGTTTTATCTTACCATAAGAAATGCGATGTATGCATATTTTCATAATTTAAAACATCTAGAAAATAAACGAAATAAATTTAAAAATAAATAAATAAATAAAATGACCAGAAATTTTAAAAAGATTATTTTTGCTCCCTTGCAGAAGATAACGAAAACAGTAGCGATAATAAATAATTTAAACCAACAATTTTTTTTTTTAAATGCGAACAAAATCACTAGCGGAGATTTTATAATTTGGCTTAATTTTTTCATCATGGAAATAGCTAAAGAATTCTTTTTGGCAACCCACCAAATTTCTTGTTTGTGGGTGCAGTCATAGTTACGTAGTGATTGTCATGTTTATAAAAGCAAGCAACTCTTCAATGGATCCTTAAGATGTTGATTCAAATGAAAGTGAAAATGTTGTTAAGGCTTACGTTTATCTGTTTATTTCTTTTCTCCTGTTTGGAGGCTCGATACATCAAGGTAAATATATAAAAACAACAATGATTACTTTTATCCAAATGTTCTATGTATCGATGTTCTCTGCAAAAATTTTTTTTCTTATTTACACTAACTTAATTTACTGTACCTTAAAAGAATAAATTGTGTTGCTGTTTTTTTGTTTGACTATTTTAGTGCTTTATTTTTATAGGATTAAAATCAACATGAGTAAGAGAAAAATTTTAATCTTATAAATTATTTGCTTATGTTTTTTCTTTGAAACTAAAACTTTTGAGAAACATTTAGAATTTTTTGTTTTTTCATTGTATTATTATTTATTATTGCATTATTATTTTATTCAAAATAAATTTAAGTACAACTGAGTGGATCTTTTTTTTCCATACAGCTTAAGATTTAAAGTGTTTTATTTTTATAATATTAAAATAAAATTGAATAAAGAAATTCTTTAATATGATATTTAGCATCTTTTTATGTTTTTTCTATAGAACTAACTCGAACTCGAGAATGTAATTATTTTTTTCCTTCCCTTTTTTTAATCTTTTAAGTTTACCATTGTACTAGTCAAAATGAATTTTCGAACAATTTTTAAAGGAGAATAAAGAAGAATATATATTCATCAGTAAGAAAACTTTTGTAAGTTATATTTATTTTCACAGAATTTTTCAGAAAAATGTGACAGTTAGAACAGGCAATAATATAACAATAATATTTTTATAGCATAATATATAATAGAATAATATTTTTGTTTGAATGAGTTATTTTATAATTTCACATCTATTTCTTTTCATTATTTTTTTTTCCCGCAATTTTTTTTAAGTTTCATTTGTGTTAGATTTCAGTATATAGTATTTGGATTCAATAATCAGTTGTTTTTAAAACAAAATATACCATTTGCATTAGGTTTACAATAGATTCATTTTACTAGACAAGTTATCTTTTAAAAGAATAAAAAAGATTCGCGGGAAATTAGGTCGAACATTTTATATGGTATATATAAATAATATTTTTATTCATTTCTAAAAAAATTACATTTTAGATTCATAAAAGAATATAAAAAGTTGTAAATAAAAATTAACGCTAGTTGTAACTAAAATTAATAGTACACTTTGTGTTAAAATTTTCAAGCAATATTCCTTAAAAATTATAATATATTTTTATTATTTGTTAATGAAATTTAATTATATTAAAATTTTTTAATCAATTAAGTATAATATTTTCAAGTAATATTTATTTCATAAAAGATAGTACGATAAAAATCTTAAGTGCATTAAAATTTATTTTTTAAATTATAAATAAATATTCAAATTTTTTTTAATAATATAGTTCAGTATTTTCTAAGAAATTTTTTGCCGTAATAGTTTACAACTGTTTAGGCATTTAGTTAGCTCAGTTATTTTGATTTCTGAATTAAGATTGTTTTTCTCTCTTTGCGCTAACTTTTTCAGTCTATCTTTTCATGTTTTACAAGATAAATTTTGTAAAATTTAAATTCTGAGACTTTTTGTTTTTACGCTGTTTAAAGTACTGAATGCAATCTGAATTACCCTGAAAAAGTTAAGAAATTTTTTAAATTTTTTAAAAACTCAGTAAGATTTTTAATTTCAGAAAAAAATATTTTTCTGAATAAAATTTTTTCTAAATTTTTTAGTGTCAGGAAAATTATGTAATTATTTTTGTCCTTCATTTTAATCAATAATATTTTTTCTAATTTGGTATTTATTAAAAAAAAAATTTTTCTTAAAAATTTTCATTTAGTTTCTATTTTATTAAAAAAATATTTCTATATGATATCTTAGTAAATGCAATGGAAAAATAGGCGAATTATTTTTAGAAAATCCTATTTAAATGCATGTTTAAATATAATAGTCTATAACTTCATTTTAGTACTCTTAATAAATTTTTCCTTTTTTGTTTCATGATAGGTAAGTTAAAACTGTTTTTATTTTTTTCTTGGAAATCTATAATTTTTATTTAAATTTTTTTTCTGAGAAAGAAAAATANTCAGTATTAAAGCTTTTGTAAGTTATATTTATTTTCACAGAATTTTTCAGAAAAATGTGACAGTTAGAACAGGCAATAATATAACAATAATATTTTTATAGCATAATATATAATAGAATAATATTTTTGTTTGAATGAGTTATTTTATAATTTCATATCTATTTCTTTTCATTATTTTTTTCCCGCAATTTTATTTTATAGTTTCATTTGTGTTAGATTTCAGTATATAGTATTTGGATTCAATAATCAGTTGTTTTTAAAGCAAAATATACTATTTGCAATTATTAAAATTAACGCTAGTTGTAACTAAAATTAATAGTACACTTTGTGTTGAAATTTTCAAGCAATATTTCTTAAAAATTTTTAATAATGATTTTAACCGCTGAACTGAATTATAATATATTTTTATTATTTGTTAATGAAACTTAATTACATTGAAATTTTTTAATCAATTAATTATAATATTTTCAAGTAATATTTATTTCATAAAAGATAGTACGATGAAAGTCTTAAGAGCATTAAAATTGATTTTTTAAATTATAAATAAATATTCAAAATTTTTTTAATAATATAGTTCAGTATTTTGTAAGAAATTTTTTGCTGTAATAGTTTACAACTGTTCAGGCATTTAGTTAGCTCAGTTATTTTGATATCTGAATTAAGATTGTTTTTTTCTCTTTGCGTTAACTTTTTCAGTCTATCTTTTTATGTTTTACAAGACAAATTTTGCAAAATTTAAATTCTGAGACTTTTTGTTTTTACGCTGTTTAAAGTACTGAATGTAATCTGAATTACCCTGAAAAAGTTAAGAAATTTTTTTAATTTTTTAAAAAACTCAGTAAGATATTTAATTTCAGAAAAAAATATTTTTCTAAATGAAATTTTTTCTAAATTTTTTTAGTGTCAGGAAAATTATGTAATTATTTTTGTCCTTCATTTTAATAAATGATATTTTTTCTAATTTGGTATTTATTAAAAAAACACATTTTCGCAAAAATTTTCATTTAGTTTCTACTTTATTAAAAAATATTTCTATATGATATGTTAATAAATACAATGGAAAAATAGGCGAATTATTTTTAGAAAACCCTATTTAAATGCATGTTTAAATATAATAGTCTATAACTTCATTTTAGTACCCTTAATAAATTTTTCCTTTTTTGTTTCATGATAGATAATTTAAATCTGTTTTTATATTTTTTACTTGGAAATCTATAATTTTTATTTAAATGCTTTTTCTGAGAAAGAAAAAAAAGCAAGATACCGTTTGGCAATGTGCACTTTAAGTTTAATTTAAATTTGTGGGGCTGTTTTTTTACCATTTATTATTTTATTTTATTGATTAGTAAATTTAAGATAATATTGAAGAAAAAAAAGTAATTTTGGTAATTATAGCATAAAATTCTGGAGAGCATGAACTTTCGAGGACTTTGCCAAGCATCCAAAACAATTTGTTTTGTATTTTTGTGTATTTTTCAGTTCCAAAACATGCAAACTATTTTTCTTGTCTAGATAGTCACTAGTTAGTAGTGAGACTAGTATAAATTAGCACACGTCAAAATTAATACTAAAAAAACTTTTTTAATTTCCAACTATTGACTCGTGTATGGTGTCTTTTGACTCAACGCAAAAGCATGCATAAAAAATAATATTTTGTCTAGATCTAGATAGCAATGTTGTATACGTAAATTTTGTATATAAAACCTTGGTCAGACGTACTTTTTATTAAAGGTCAGCCTTACTTTTCTGTTCATAAAACCATATATTTTTTAAACCATTAGTCTTGTTATCTCGTACTAGGCGTATGGTTTATACTTTAACAATCAATAAGGATTTGCTGGAGTAATAGCGTGGGGAGTAATAGCTGGAGTAATAGCGTAGCTTAACCTCTCGGGTTAAGACCGGGTACTAGGATCACCATGTAAAGCCGATTTAGAATATCAGAATAAAGAAGAAAAAAAAAAGAGCTATCAAGAGATGGTACTTTACTTATGTTGCACTAGAGCTGCACAATGAACTATTGGCGACGTTCTGGGAAACATCCCTGAGGATGATCCGATCTTCTGCAGAGGGGATGGCTTCTCTGCTTTGGTTGCCCGACGACCTGCGCGCGCGATGTCGAGCATTTTACGGTAGAACAGTTTAACGAGGAACGACACCGCATACCCGCGGTCCCTACGCAGGTTGATCAAAGTGTTTACCCACTGTTTTCTGATCGCAGCCAGTGATGCGGTATTCTGCGGGAAAGTCATTTCGAGTGGAAAAAAAGAGAAAAGTTGAGGATCTGAAACTCAGCCCATGAAAGATCAATCCTGTGAAGAAGCCATCAATCGTGTGAAGAAGATAATTACTTCACATATGAATTTCGTACATAATATTCTTAAATTTTCTTCTAAAATATTAAAATATCTGCAAAATTTTAATTCTAAATTTCCCATAGAGTTTTCATATGCACTAGGTCTTACCTTATTATAAAGGGATTAGATCGGGTGATTTGACTTTTTCCAAAAAAGAATCATTTATAAAAAAAGTAGTGCATCTATGAATTTTTCAAAAATTAAATATTCTTCACTAATAATAATGAATTTCTTGATTAAATCTGACAGTTAACTGTTAAAACTTTCTTAAGAAACGTCTTTCCCTAGCTGAATATCCGTTCTCTGTACTGGGTGGAAAAAAGTAAACAATCGATATATCAGTACTAAACAACAATACGAAATCCTGAACAAAACTGGAAGACATGCTCTAACATAATGAAGCTAAAATAATTCCGTTTTTTAAGTTTGTTATTATATTTTGTTCAAACAGCTGGCTTTACGCTGTTAGATTTAGCAAAATAAAAATTAAGTGTATTCAGAATCGTTTGGTATGATGCTGTTTGCTCGAGGCCAACTCATGATAATCAAAATTTACCACAACCACGAGATTTTCTCCGGTACTTACACTTTTTTAGAATGAATTAATTTAGAACGAATTTTAGGATCGGAGTTAAATTTGCCCTTCGCAGCCTCTATCTAAATTTAAGAATGACAGAATAAACGGTACTGGAGGTTATAAGAGCGACAGACAGCGAAAAACTCTGCATTTTATTATTAAAGATCATTCTTGAAGAAAATGTAACAATAGATTTGACGAGGTCGCCTCTGACGATTGTATTGGTCTCGATTAATATCGCGATTTTGTCGTTGCTGGTAAATACTCAATGCTTATTTAAGGCATGGTATTAGCGATATATAACTAATAGATACTTCCTATAGTTTGTTTGATACAAGTTTTACTATGTTTAATATTTTTATGATATAAAACAATCTTTCCGCAATTATTATTTTATTTTGCAGAGAGATATTGGTGAAAATCGTCCGATTTGTGAGGGTGATACACCATGTGGCTGGGAAATTTATAAACCATATATTAGAATAGTTGAAACTTTCGTGAAAAGCCCGTAAGTATATTATTTCACTCTTTGTTCGTAATAAAATAAATTTTTAAAAGCTATTTACTTAAAGGAGCAAACGTTAAATTTACAGCCTATTTTTGGTTTCATTTAGGTATATTGAATATGAAATATGTTTCAGACCTTATGATATATTTATACTGCTCGTGTTAACTTTTACTGTTTTTTATTTTGCTCGTATTTATTTTTTCAGCTATTTATTCGATGCTTGATAAATTTTTTGTTCGTTTACTCTTAATTCCAGTAATCTTTTTTTTTTAAACGAAAAAAAATATTGAAGTAAAATATTATAATTCTATTTAATATTTTTCTAAGTGCGTTTGTTTTCGGGAGTCTTACTTTGCGTGTGTTGATGTAATTTAGACTATTTATACTTAATTTTTTAAGCATGAATTAACCCCTTCAGGACCATAATCATACATATGTGATCCCGCGATTCTCCCTTCACTATCCACCCTATCATCAAGTCAGCATATCATAAGAGTTTTGTGGAAAAACCAGGTAAGTGACATTTTAGCGAACTTGAGTAAATGAGCTTTAAAGTTTATACGTTTCTTATTTTTGTTACTTCGTTCAATCTTTATGTTTTAGGATAGCTGTAAAAACATCATAACATTTTGGACGTACATTTATATGGCCCTAACTCTTTTTATAAAAGAGGATTTTTAACGGTTTCAGTACATAGCATCCTATATTAACGAAATGAGACTTTAGCAACCACAATTTGGGAGAAACTGGCATTAAGTTTTATCCTCCCTTCTTGGTCCGAAAATCGTCCAAAAACGATTCAAAGGCAGCCTCAGCTCAACTTTCGCAAAGCAGATGATTTAACGATATTTATCGCTTTAATGGGCGAGAATTCGGTAATGATTAAGAATTCTTCTTAATAGCGCTGAGTGTGGTGCAAATGTTATGTAATTTCGTTATATGTAATATTATGTCTCTGACTGAATAAAAATATTTTTAATAGTTTAATACAAAAAATATTTGTAGCTGTTGAAACACAATTATTTTAAATTTTTTCATTACAAAATTAGTTTTTTCATTCAAAAATGTCACTTTTTTTTAAAACATTTAAACGGAAACCTCTCATGGTTACAATGGATTGCGTTGATGATAATTTGCATCATCAACGCAATCTCTGCAGGTAAGAAACAAAAGAATTTAACCGCCTATCTCTGTGATTCGTTCCTATGTCGACTTAATCTGTCACAGATTTGTCACTGAAAAAGTGACTATTAATTTTGCTAAATATATGAGAAAACGTTTAACATTTCAAATTTAAAGCTTAATATTTTACGCACAAACTGCTTTTCAATTCAAAAACAATCATCCAAAGAATATAAACCTTTTTGTGATTGGGCATTACTGATATTATGTTGATAAGTGCTCTTTTAGTTGGTTCGAAGTATATTAATATAGGTACTACAATACCTAATATAAGTATTGTGGAAATAAATTTTTGCGGCCCATCGAATGGAATAAGTACCGGTGAAAATTGTAGATTATGGCAATGTTTGACTATCAGGAGTTATAACATTATGCCAAAAGATACTGAATACAATTAATCTTTGTTTTGATGAGATGAATTACTATAAATGTGATTTGTTTCATCTAATAACATTAAGCCGCCAGGAAGAGCAACAAATAATAATGAATTTAAAAAACCTGGAATTTCTGTAATTTAATTAATTGTGTCAGTATATCTCTTTCACTTTTATGCACTGTTTGGTATTTATCGATTTTTGTATTTTGGTTATTACCGATTTATTGATTTTGCTTGCTTCTTTTTCCCCGAAATCATTCGGAAAACGTGTATTCGGCTAGTAACAGTATTTATTTTAGGTTAGTAATAGTATTAATTAACAGTATTAAATTTACTAACATAAAAAAATTATTTATTTTCAACACGGGTTTGCTCCCTGAAATTATACGTTGAAGCTATTTAAGAGGCATTTCTTTCCTTTTTTATTATTAATATGTAAAAAAATCTACATTTGTCCTCGATGTATAAAAGCTGCTGTTCCAAAATTTCCGTTTCGCGTATTAAGCGAGGTTTTTTCTAGGGTTGTTTGTTGATTATTTGTTATCAAGTCACTTATTTGTTTTTCCACCCAAAGAATACTCAAATAATGTCACTTACCTCCTTCTTTCACGAAGTACCTTCGGAATTGAAAGATTTAACATTATAAATGAATGGTATGTGTTTAAATAAGACTAAAATAAGAACTTTTCCCCAAAAAATCTCAATTTTTTTTTTGAAAAAAAAAAATGTCATTTACTAGTTTTTTTTCACAAAGCTCTTCATATGAAATGATTTCTGACTCAAGCAATCCATGACCACACGGACGTGGTCTCAATCATCACCTAGAACAAAAAGGGTTACCATAGACGCGAATCCGATCCTTTAGTAGTTCGAACTGTGCGACATATTTCTTATTTAACCCCACAGCGCAGTTTATGTTCGTTGCGTCGGGTTTCTAAATTGATCCGTGCGGAGGCCTTCTTTCTTCTAGGAGGTGTTGTCTCAATACGGTTCTCTCGTATTAGTATATATACGTATTCTGTTGTGCGTATAAACTCGGACTGGGGAGGCAGTTTTTTCTCCCTCAACTGTTCCTGAAGGTGCTGAACTTTTTTTTTGTGTTTAGTACAATATTTCTTGAACTAAAATAGTTTTGTTCTTTAAAATATAGTTAATATTTGATTTTAGACTTCTCTATTTACCAAAAGGTATTTAATATTTTCCGATTAAATGAACGATTGGGCGATGAAAGTGTGCAATTATAAAGAAAAAGAAGAAAGTATTAATTGACCATTTTATGAATAAGTAAATTAAAAAATAGGCGAATCAATGAATCATATTAGGGAATAAATAAAACAACGAATCGGCCTATCGGCTAATGACCGAATTCATGAATGGACAAATTCCTTTATAAATAAATAAAAATAGGTTTAAAAAAACCTCTAAATTTTGGTTAACGACGACAACATTTTTATTTACTTATTTATTCGTTCGAATTATTTTCTGTTCATTAAATTTTTGAACATAAATACTTAAAAGATTTTGTCTTATAGAAGTGCACGAAATTAATTCTGTATTTATGTTTCGAATAAAACAAATAAAAGTACTCTTTAAAATTTCATGCAATAATACAATTTATTACAGTAGAATACTTTGTACGGCAATGCAAATTAATTATGTTTATAAAAGTTTAAAATTACAAAAAGTTTAAGTTATAAGACCAAAAAATATTAAGTGACAGTTAGTTAAAAGTTTAAGTTGCAACAACAAAAGTTTAAAATTAAACAACTCATAAAGTCACTTCTTGAATATTTTTTTCCTCCAGAATTATTTATTAGAATCACTATTTAAATTAATCTTGATTCAAAATTCATCTACAGCAATAGATTGTTAAAACTAATCTTAGTTAAAAACTGAAAAAAAACTTGTAACGATTACAATTCATTTTACAATAAAAGATTGTTAAAACTAATCTTAGTTACAAAAATAACAAATAAATAAAACTAAGCAAAAACCTCAAACATGATACATTAAATTTTTTATCACCAGTCCACTAATTATTCATGTTATATTTTAATAAGAAAGGTAATTCTTTACATAGGTTGGCTAAATGTTATTAATTAAAGTAATATAGCTTATTACTTGTAATCATGATTACATGTAACTCATTACTTTTAATCAATTACATTTCGCCTAGTAGAGATAATACGTAAATATTTTCTGTTTGATTTTGTTGCGATACATTTTAGAGCAACAGCTTTGTATTTAATTCACTTAAATAAATACGCTCAATAACTTTTGTTTTTTTCCTATGCGTATTAAGCTGCTTGATTGGATTATGAAATTTTATTGAAAATATTAAATTATAATAAATTATCATTGCCCGCAAACACAAATACCTCCATCTTCTATTGCTGTTCTGTTTTTCTTGTTCAAAAACACATACTCGATTTACATTATATTTACTTTTTTATCCAAGGTCGGATGCTACAATTTTGGATTCAGGCCAAATACGAATCAAATTATTTAAATCGTAATTATATGCTGTGTCATTCATCTGACCATAGCATAGGTATGCTTAAGATCTAATGGATATTATAATTTTAAATAAAAGATGATTATCTGATGGAAATTTTTTTTATCGAATAAAATATGTTTGGAACTTTTTTTGTTAATGGGAGCTGGATGTGCTATCCCTGCCTATGTTAATCAAATCATTTATAATGTAAATACTTCTATTGTAAAAACACTTTTCTTTTGATCTTCTTGTTATTTTATTTTTTATTTTATAAGCGTCGTTGAACAGCCGACCCAACTTTTTGGGTTTACTTCGCAGTTTTGTAATTTTGAACCCAATCCAGAAGACAAGGGAACTCTTGTATCAAATATTGGGAGAAATTTTGCTTTCGAGGAGAACATTTTGATGGAACTAACCCGCATTTGCGTTACATGGAGAGGAAAACCTAGAAAACCTCCCACGGTTACCCTGAGGGTAAGTGGAGGATATTTGAACCACTGAGGATATTTTAAATCAGCAATGTGGTCGGTGTAAGCCGGATGCGGAATTCGTATCGACCAGCCATTGCCGGATTCGAACCCGGTTCACCTCATTGGAAGGCGAACGCGGTATCCCCTGAGCCATCGCGGATCCCCTTCTTGTTATCATAAAAAAAAAAGGTTAAATCACTCTACTCTGAAGAAAAAAAAGAACAAATTTATATATGTTAAAATTTACCATGTTTCTGGCTCTATGGGAATACCAAAAAAAAATATTTTTTCGGAAGCTCTTTGGTAATGATTTTGGTAAAATTAATAATAAAATATGGTTTTATAATAGATGAAAAAATTTGGTACATGTGGCTAAATTTGGTGATTTTATTATGGCATATAAAATCATTTATACGGTTAAATTTAATTTTCAGTTTTGCATTTTTTTACTACGTGTCTTATAATAAAAACTATCATTTTAAAAACCAGAATTTCCGGTTAATATGAATGGAAAAATTAGTAAATGAATGGTTTAAATACCATATATGTTGGTTTTATTAACCTAAAATATGTTGCTTTTTTCGTTACCAGAAATGTCATTACTATGCAGTAAGGTAATTTTCTCTGATTTTTTTTTTCCGTGTAGGGAGGTATAAAAAATTAGCTTATTTTGGGAATTGTTTTTTAAATAAAAATGAAATAAAGCAAAATTCTGAAACTACAAAAGGAAATGGCGGATCGTAAAGCTTTATTTTTGATAAAGCATTTTTTTTTTCATTTTTATTGAATGGCAGAACTATTTGCACCAATAGTTTTTCTATGAATGATGAAAGACTTTTTTTCTATTATGTACTTAAATGACTTTAGAAATAGATAAAAATCTATTAAAACGCAAATTATCGCAAAAATAGGGTGGTTTTAAAAAATAAATTCAATTTTATCCAAACAAAATTGCCGAAAAATTGTTCATAACAAAAGAAACTATGCAATAATATCAAATAATTTTATGTAATAAAATTGTAATTTTTGAAAAATTCCAATTTTAAATATAGATTTCAAATTTGAAGATCTTTTCCAGTTATGAGATCGAAAAAATCTAATTCGTATGTAATTGAAATATCATTGAAACTTGAAATATAATTAAAGGAGGATTTTCTGATTTTTTCGCACTGATGCTCTGAGTAAAAACGCGAATTTTGGACATTGAGATTAGCTTGAAGAGGTTTCTGCACAAATCTTATGGAAATCAATTCGCTCTGTCAAAGTGGCTGATAATTTAGCATGTTGCAGTTCAAAACATTCAGAGTTCTCATTGACACAATGTCTGTCTAAAAATGGATAATTAGCGAGATACGGAGTCGCACATCTAAGAGTTGTAGGCAATTGGGTGAAAGGTGCTTCAAGCGCACAGCATTGGCTTAGGTGAATGCGAAAAAGGAATGCTACTCATTTAGCATTCATTCTAATGTGCTATTAGTTTTTTCATTACTTAATCTAAAGTTTCAATACCTCATTATTAACTTTTTTTCTTCAATTTCCTAGGTTAATGCTAATATCGCTCAAGGAATTACTATTTATGTTTTTTTTTGCTAGTTTTATTTTATATCCGTTATCAAATAGTCGACTCAATTTTTAAGTCCGACTACCAATGTTCATAGCCTTGTAATTTGTTCCCAATTCTCTCTTTGGAAACTCTTTGATCAAGTATTGGGAGAAATTTGCCTTTGTGGAGGACTTTTTTGAAGGAACTTACCCGCGTTACATGGATAGAAAGACATGTCACGGTTAGCCTACCAGAAAGGGTACTCTAACTTATCCGTCTACCACTGAGGATATTTTATGTCAGCACTGTGGTCGGTGCGAGCAGGTAGCGGAATTCGTATCGACCAGTCATCGCTAGGATTCGAACCCTGGGAGGCAAGTGCTTTATTTCCTGAGCCACCACGACTCTACTATTTATGATTTGAGACTTCGTATCTCGGAAACTAACTCAGAGTTTTTGGATGATTAGAATATTTTGAACTACAACATATTAAGTTTCCTGCCAATTTGACAGGGAATTAATTTCCATAAGATTTGTGCAGAGTCTTTGTGATTGTACCCATAGAATATTTAAAACCAAAATAGTGCGTTTTTCTTTTTTGCAATAATTGTTTTTAATTAAAAAATTGTAATAAACAAAAACTCACATTTAAATAGATTCACAACATTCTGATTTGTGCCAGAAGATTCTTGCATTTAAAGCATTTTCCTTAGAAATATATAGAATTTTCTCTTTTAATACATATTTTTTTTGTGTGGTCTTGATGTGTAAAAATAGCTAACGATAATCGGTATTAGTCAATATCCTCTGGAAATATTTAGCTTAAGCAAATATTGCACCGGAAGTTAGATATGGTTGCAATTTTTCTGTTTCAACGACCTCCGTTTTTTTGATAACATGAAAGAATTTACTACACTATAGCTATTACGAATTTTTTTTTTAATGAAATTTCTTAGAAGTCGTCATTTGCTTAAAACTATTTTCGTTCGCTGATAACGTCATAAACTAATTATCTTATTATCAAACTACTTTTATGAATAACTATGATATAAACAAACCAAGCATTAAGTATAAAGTTTTTTTTTCTTTCATTTATGTTTTCGGCTTAAGAACAGGTATAGAATATTAGAAGAGATATTTTTTTATTGCAGTTAATATTAAATAAAATAATCTTCTAACTATCGAATGTAGATAAGAAAAATTGTCCATGATAATGAAAATGCTTATAATTTGTGCTTTAATATTAAAAGAGGGGCTATATGATAGATTATGAATTATTATGGTTTGTTATTTTGCTATTTTTTTCTACAAAGATTGTATTAGTTTTTTTATGCCCCTTTTAATTAAAAAAACAGCTTTGGTTTCCCCTGTAAAAAAAATTAACTAATAAATAAACTAATAAATATACTAGTACCTTTAAGCTTTGTAGTGTTCTAGCAAGGTTGTAAAAATCGTGATTTTTTTTTCTAAAATAGGTAAATAAATAAAAAAAAAAGAAAAAGAAAGGTTGAATTTTTGAAATTTTTTTTAATTGGATTATCTTGATTTAATCAGATTTTTTTTACATACGCTAATCAACGCTTTGTTAAAATACATTAATAATCCTTAACGTTACTAAAAATAATATTACAATTAAATTAATTATTATTTATAATTTAAATTGCTAAAATTGTTTAATTATTACAAACTAATGACTGAAAAAGTAAAATTATTTTAAATCAAGCTCAATATTTTCATGAATTTGTATAGACAAAGACTAAATTTGTCAATTAGATATCAAATGAAAAATAAATTAATTTAGATCAGGAAACAAAAGAAAAAAAAATATTTTAAATTACTTTTGGCTGGACTAGACTTATTTAATTACTTATATACACAAAATACATTTGTTTAATAAGTTTTATAAGTATTTGTATTTAAATGCACATAAAACTGAATTGGAATAATTGAATTATGTTTATTAAATTGAAATTTATTTTGCATACAGTTTATGAAAAGTTACAATTTAAGAGTTCCATATCACTTTAATCTCTAATTAATACTTTTTATTTTATTGTCTATTTTGAGCACATCTACTATTTTACATAAATTAACTTTTCCTTATTTCTTTAATTTAAACCTTCACTATCACTGAGATCAGGCTTTTAAAAAATTATAACTTTAAGAACATATTTATAAATTATGCAATATAATTTTTTTTAGCTTGAACCAATGTTTTTTTTTAAATAAAAAAATAAGCTGATTTAAATAATTGAATCAAGTGATTTAATCATGAATCATTGAATACTGTAGGTATACTACTGTGCACTATACAATATAGTAAAAACTATTTGGTGATAATGTCAAAAACTACTGATACTTAAATTTCCTATGTAGAATCTATTCGAGGGTTTGCTATCCTGTATATATAGGAAGTACGCAAAGTAAAATAACGAGCACCCTGAATGGCTTTTGATTTAATGATCAGATTCTCACGCATGTTTACTTAATTGTTACAGGGTCTATAATATGTTCATTAATTTGTACAGACAATATTTTCAATAATAATGACTTGATGTTATGATGATACTTTTGGACTGAGACTGTACTTCAGTCCAAAAATAATCTTCTAAATACTTTTACATTCTTGAAATCTAAATCATCTCCAATAAGTGATACATTATTTATCTCAAATTTTTTTCCAAAAAATATCAATGTAACTTATTGTGACTTCATTTATTTTAAGGTGTGACTGTCCGAGTAACAGCCAGTGTGTGCGGTCAGGTGATGACATATCCATTGCTGCATTCGTTCATCGTTGTTCTCCAACATCTTTAAAATGAATGGAATGGACGGAACTGTATTCTCATCACAACTGTTATTTATTATCTTGTATATTAACATTTTATACATTTCTCAGTATTAATCACATCATTAAAAGTTTGCTTTTATAATACCCTTCATGTTTTTCGATCCTACACGATGTACCGTGCACGAAATAAAAACATGTGTACTGCCATGCATTAGAAAAATCAACGCCAGGATAGCCTGGTTGGTAGGGCGTTGCGTCCATGTCCAAGAGGTCGTGGGTTCGATTCCCGTTGACCGTAGACTCCCCGTGTAGTAAATAGTGACTACCTCTGCGAGTATTGAATTGGAGATTGATCTTTCCTGGTTTAGATCAAAATTACAATCTGTGTACGAATGGGTCCGTGTCTTCTAAACGGGTTGTGTTTTGTGTGTGTGGCTGAAGTCGTATTCTTGACCAAGGATGGCGCCACTGAGAAACATGAAACTAACCCTTTGCCTTAACTTTGCTTGATTTCACCAAGAATATTGGCAAGTGGCAATAGAAAAATTTAGAATAAAATTTTTATACATTTGTCTTCTTTGCATTATGATAAAGCTACATGTTGCAATTTTTTTTTTCGAAATAAATTTTGTTTTTATCAGTTTTTTGAAATTCTACTTTACTAACTTGCAGCAATTGAAATTATACGAAAATAGTTGTCACGAACTCTATCGTAAACACTACAGTTACTTTTTCAATTGCAGGGTAGTGTATATCTAATGAGAAAATCTTCATCGAATGCATATTAATCTGCGCAAAATTTTATCATTAGATCTTAGAATTTGAGAAAAAATTCTATGTTCTAATGAAAAAACTTTCCTCGGACAAAATACAGTTTTAGTGTTTTAAAGGGTAGATGCATGCTAAATTAAAAGTACAGACGATATTTTAAGTTACCAAATCAAAACAAAGACGCTTTTCCTAAACGTGTTTATGTTTTTTTCCCTCCGGATTCGGATTTTTTTTATACCCAAAATGTAGCAGGAATACCTTTTGAAGGTAAAATATTTCGCAACATGGACTCGCAATATTTTCAAGTGTAATGGCTCGAAGTCAAATATCTTCAGCGATATGCGGATCATGGGTTAGAGTCCGCTTGCCGTGGGCTAACCATGGGAGGATTTCGTGGTTTTCCTCTCCATGTAACGCATATGCGGGTTAGTTCCATCAAAAAGCCCGCCACAAAGGCAAATTTCTCCCAATGCTTGCTCCAGGAGTTCAATTATCTTCTGGATTGAGTTTAAAATTACAAGGCTATGGAGTTGAACATTAGTAGTCGTAAACCCAAAATTGGGTCGGCTGTTCAACGACGGTTATGAAATTGTGGTGGCTCAGGCGATAGAGCGTTCGCCTTCCAATAAGGTGAACCGGGTTTGAATTCTAGCGATGGGTGGTCGATACGAATTCCGCACCCGGCTCGCACGGACCACAGTGTTGACGTAAAATATCCTCATTTTGGTAGGGTCATGGGTTAGAATCCCCTTAGCGCCAGGTTAACCATGAAATATTTTCGTGGTTTCCTTCTCCATGTAACGTAAATGCGGGTTAGTTCCCTTAAAAAGTCCTCGCCGAAGACAAATTTCTCCCAATACTTGATCCCTTGTCTTCTGGATTGGGTTCAAAATGACAAGGCTAAGGAGTTGAACATTAGTAGTCATATACCCGAAAATTAAGTCTGCCGTTCATCGACGTTTATAAAAAATAAATAAATAAGGTAAAATAAATATTTCTAAACTTAGAAAATTTGCTCGCTTTGGTCATATTTCTAAAACTAATTACGCAAGTCAAAAAATCATAACTAACTTTTTGCGAAACTATCTCAACCAAATCTAATTCCGAGCAGCAAATATTAATGTTTTTTTAAATATTATACTTATAGCTTTTTGTTGTTTTATCTTTTAAAAAAAGTAGTGTCTTTAACCCTTTCGCGCCTAACGGGACACATACGCCCCAAGCAAATTTCAAAAAAGTCTTTTGGGACAGAAACGCTTCTCTGTCTAATAGGAGACTTTCCCACCAGTCCTGCCAATATTTTTGAAAGTATTTTCATTCACAGAATATAGATGGCACTACAGTCCATAATGCTGCCCTACTCATAGTTTATTCTACCAAAATTGCTCTGTTGCAAAAAAAGAAAGAAATCGTCGCGAAAGGGTTTAAGTTTCATTTCTCTTAAACTATTCGATCCATTCTTTTAAAGCATCAGATTTCGCATTTAATGCAGCAAAACAGTAATATGATGTAAAAATTTGTAAAATTTTATAATACAACATTTTTCAGTCATTATAAAATTTAAAAATATTTGTTATAAGAAATTATTTTTTTCCTGGCAATTGTTTTCGGATGAACAAGTTTCATAATTGTGTGAAAAGAGTTTTTAAATAATTTAGATAGTTCTACTAAACTACTGGATTCCTATTTTTCAAATTGCAATGCATGCAGCTACTCCCTCTACCTTATATTTTAAAGGTGAAAAATCCGATCTATGAAAAGGGTAAAATATGGTGTTTGAAATAGGGAGAATAATTGCAATTTGGAAAATGTGAGTCGTGGTGGCTCAGGGGATAGAGCACTCGCTTCCCAATGAGATGTAGATAGGTTCAAAAACCAGTGTTGACTAGTCAATCAGAATTCTGCTCCCGGCTCGCACTGACCACAGTGATGACATAAATTATCCTCAGTCGTAGACGGATCATGGGTTAGAATTCCTTTGCCGTCCAGATAACCAAGGTAGATTTTCCTCTCTATGTAACGTAAATGCAGGTTAGTTCCATCAAAAAGAACTCCACAAAGGCTAGTTTGTCCCAATGCTTGATCCATGAGTTGCCTTGTTTTCTGGATTGGGTTAAAAATTACAAGGTTACGGAGTTTAAACGTGACAGTCGTAAACTCAGAATTGGGTCAGCTGTTTAACGACGGTTATAAAATAAAATAAAGATCTAAGGAATATGTCCCGTGCGTAGCTGAGTTATAATAAAATCTAGCTGTTCTAATAACTTTTAAAATAACTCTTGATGATAACTTTCATTATTTTAAAATATTTTTTAAATTGAAAACTGGATATAACGTTATTAACAGTCGGTTACTAACAGTCAGTTTTCAATTTTTCTTGAAAAAATAAAAAATTTTAAATTTAATGAAAATTTGAAGTAATTGTAAGAGTTATTTTTACAAAAAATAATTAAACTTGTTTGATTTTCCTTTAAACTGAGATTTGCGCATTTTATGTCAGCAAATATGATGTCGGAAATGGTGTGATTGCCTATTTTGGGTTGCCTTTTTGGGTCAAAACATTCCCTCGTAATTATAAATTATAAGAATATAAAGATATACTGTATGCTGCGTTTTTCTTATAAAATTTCTTATAAAACCAGTTAATTTATTCCTACTAAGTCGCAAAATTTGTTACAAAGTTTGTAAACAGATGGCGCTACTAACTAGAAAAAAAAACTGGAATGATTTGACATAAAGCAAAAAATATTGTTTTATAGTTTTCCAGTCAGCAGCGCCATCTGACGAAGAAGTTTTCTTAATTAATTTTAAATTTGGCGAGAAAAATACCTAATATCCTTAAGAAAAACCCAACAAACCACACATTTCTATCCTACATTCTATAAGCATTTTTATTATCTAAGTATGATTCACTGTGGCTCAGGGGATAAAGCTCTTGCCTCCCAATGAGGCGAACTAGATTTGAATTCCAACGTTGGCTGGTCTATACGAATTCTACACCCGGCTTCAGATATCCTCAGAGATATATAGGCGGATCATGGGATGGAATCCTCTTGCCATCGGGCTAACCGTAAGAGGTTTTCCGCTCCATGTAACATAAATGCGGGTTAGTTCCCTCAAAAGGCTAGTTTGTCCCACTGTTTGATGAAAAAGTTCTATAGTTTTCTGGATTGGGTTGAAAATTAACAAAAATATACGGAGTTGTACTTTGATCGCTGTAAACTCAGAATTGGATCGGCTGTTTAACGCTGGTTATAAAAGAAAATAATCTTAGTGTGATTTCATTTACTCTTCCTATTCCACCCCTCACTAGACAATTTGATTTATTTGAATGTATATACACCGGTCCCTCGAACCAGAAGTATTAGATCTAATTAATATGCGAAGCGTAAAAATAAAAAAAGAACATGTCGAAAAGAGATGAGTGATTTTGTTGTTGATATTTTCTAAATCAGTCATCTTTTTTTCTATTTTTATTCTTTCCATATTTTAGTTTACAATTTGGAAGGAAATTTATTATTTTGTTTTTTTTTAGGACAGACTTATTTTATAGCACCATCTGTTCCATCTACCAATATCACTTAACACCTTTTATATTTGTCGAGTGGCATGTGTGTGTGAATTGAAAATTCAAGTTTTAAATTTTGGGAAAGTCAAAGAAGTTATAATTTTTAAAAATTTGGAAACCCATTTTAAAAACCCATCGTCAAAATGGTTGTTGTCTAATTTCTTTTAGAAAAGAAACTTTACTGTGTTTTCATCTCGGACATCTTTAACTGTTAATCCTGAACTGCTCGGTACGCAATTTCGCAGACATATTTAAATGCATCTCAGACACATTTTGTGTAAATTCTCTGAATAGACATTGAATCAATATTATCATTTCCGGATTGGTACAATGGTGTTTGATGGAGATTGTAAACTGTATCGGATTTCCAAGTTCATACATGAAATATGATTTGAAAGCTAGGCTTTTTTTCAATTTTACATGAAGAGTGTTGTTGTTGTTGTTGTTAATTTACGTCGCACTAGAGCTGCACAATGGGCTATTGGCGACGGTCTGGGAAACATCCCGGAGGATGATCCGATGACATGCCATCACAATTTTGATCCTCTGCGGAGGGGATGGCACCCCCGCTTCGGTAGCCCGACGACCTGCGCGCGAAGTCAAGCACTTTACGGTAGCACAGTTTAACGAGGACCCATACCGCACACCCTCGGTCCCTACGCAGACTGATCCAAGTGGTCACCCACCCGCACACTGACCGCAGCCAGTGATGCTTGACTTCGGTGATCTGCTGGGAACCGCGTCTTAACGATCAGTCCACTGCGGGACACATGAAGAGTGAATGAATCATTTATATTGCGTGGAA